TGAAACCGATGCCAATGAAGGCGTTCCTCCCGTTGTCGTCCTGAAGACGAATCACAAAATAACGGCTCGAGTCGGACACCGATTCGAGAGCTATTCCCGGATATTTATCGACCGGACATTTGCCAAAGAGCTGACCCGTCATCTTGTCCTCCAGTTTGAGAATGCATTCCTTGCCTTTGGCCACAAGTCTGAGTCTTCCCGTCCAGTCGGGAGCGTCCAGTTTCCAGTCGGCGGCTCTGGAGGACACAAACAACACAAATGGTTACACATATTGGCATCAATTTCAACAGCGGTGGCGATGGTGTGGACCAACCGATGGGCTCTATTGGTAGTCTTGGGCGGAATCTTGAAGATGAAGACATCGGATTTGATTAAAAGGATCCGCTCGTAGTCTTCCATCGCTTCCACCGATTGATTGTTGTCTTAAATGGGATTAAATATTGTTATAATTTGTGCCCAAAATCTGCCCCTTTTTTCAATACACAATTCACTGTTTATTATGATTGCAGTCATCCGTAAACAACGTTACGATAAGCCGTAAGCACTGACCCCGGGTTAATGCCCAACCATTGAAGACGGACATTAATACACAGTAAATAAACGGGGGGTTATCGGCAGTATATGAGATACTTCAGATTATCTAACTTTCCAGTACATAAGTGTGTTTTTAATACAAATTTGGTTTTGCTAAGTTAGCTAACCTTATAACTTTTAATTAGTTTTAAATACGATTACAAGTAATTTTAATTGCAATTAAAGAATTGAATACACTTTAAGATTACAATAAATGCAATAAATATTGTTTTTAAACACAAATGAATGATCAATGCATGTGTTTTACCACAAGAATACGTATTTCAGTCTTTAAGACAAACAAAAACCACAATTTATCTAATGATACGAATAGTGAGACATAAATGCAATAAATATAGAGAGAGTATTAAGTGATGGCAAGTGATTGAGTGATAAGGACCGGGATGTGTGCGGATGTGTTGAGTGTGATGTTAGGCCGACTGGACGTACTTCACCTCATCGAACGCTTTCCTGGCTTTCTTAAGCTCTTCATTCATAGTGAGTAAATCCTTAACTCTGGAGAACTTGCGGCCATCCCTTTGGACCAAATGCATGATATCCTCGACGGCGACCCTTCCGGGTCTCCCCATTTCCATCGCTCGCAGCGCTATATCTGTGATGAACTGAATGACCAGATCCTCAAACATGTCGACAGTCTCTGTGTATGGGTTGTGATCGTCGCCGAAGCCATACATCATACACCGCAGTTCCTTCGAGAAGATCCGCTTCTTCTTGTCCGACGACTGGCTTTCGTTCAGATCCTGAGACGTCGCCTGAGATAATAGCTCGTCGTCCACGTCTTCTTTGGCATTTGTGGCCATTCTTTTCGTTGGATTCAAATCAACTTTTTTTTAATACAATCAATGAATGATATCTAATGGCATAAAACCCCTGCAATAATCTGAACCGCAATAACAGATCTTATCGCTAAGTGGGCTATCGCTGGAGCCGTAATTATAGGACAACTCAGTGCCGGCGACAATGTCTTTGGCGGCGAATAAGCAAATCCTTGGGCGCAACGAATCGCTTCGCACCGGAAGTGCTATGAGATTGGGTTCGCAGCTATGGTTCACAAATCGGGCGCCGTTTCCGTAATACTTGGCGTCGATTATGATCTCAAACGTGGATTCGCTGCCAAAGTGTTCACGAAATACGAGAATATAGTTGTGTTGATCGCAGTCTTCGGCGTATAAACGGAACCTCTTTTTGGCCTCAAATGTGTCGATAACTTCACCGCAATATTCGACAACGAATTGACCGAATTTCACATCATTTACGGTACGAACGGAATAGCCTTTCAGGGGATCCGCGAAGAGTTGTGTCACACATTTGGTCCCTCTCTGTGTCCAACGATTACCGCATCGAGTCTTCAGCAGTGGATTGCGACCGCAGAAGCAGTTGTCTCCGCACTCGTGGATGGGTTTCAAGCAATCAATGAGTGAACCGTTTGTATCGTAATTATAGTCAACACCACATCTATTATGACTGCATTCACACCAACTCTTTGGCCGCCGATTGTCTTCAACACAATCACATCCCAATTGGCAGCCAATCAGATCCTTTTGGTCCAAATCGTCGGTCGGCTCAACGATTATATTGTCTGTGATTTCGATGAACGACTTGGAGGACAGATAAGGGGTGTCAGCGATGTCTTGGGATGCGATCAGTGGTGGCAGCCAATCAGATCCTTTTGGTCCAAATCGTCGGTCGGCTCAACGATTATATTGTCTGTGATTTCGATGAACGACTTGGAGGACAGATAAGGGGTGTCAGCGATGTCTTGGGATGCGATCAGTGGCTGTCTTTGCATCAAATGTTTTGAAAATACACACAAAAAAACAAAACAAATTGTTGTCAACACATGACAGACAACAACAACTGCTGGCTATTGAATGGTCACAAAAGTGCGGCACATGTTATGTATGGTAGACATAGCGCTGGCTATAAGTGTCAATACAGTCGTATTTGAAGGCCTTTTATATATGAAATGTATGCAAAATATAGTATTGTTTTGATTGTAAAAACTTTGAAACTTTTTGAATGAATAGTTCGCCAAATATAGTGAAGAAATGGTTGGACTTAAGACAGGGATCAGGTGTTGGCCACAGGAATATGGATGACATTGTTGAGGGCACCTCTTTTCTGGCCAATATGGCCAACACTCACACCTATCAACACGTGTTCAATAAGATGTTGTCATCGCTTGAATGGCACCCAAACGGCAATCTCGTGGTCATCGGTTCCCGAGGAGTGGCAGCCAATCAGATCCTTTTGGTCCAAATCGTCGGTCGGCTCAACGATTATATTGTCTGTGATTTCGATGAACGACTTGGAGGACAGATAAGGGGTGTCAGCGATGTCTTGGGATGCGATCAGTGGTTGTCTTTGCATCAAATGTTTTGAAAATACACACAAAAAACAAAACAAATTGTTGTCAACACATGACAGACAACAACAACCGCTGGATATTGAATGGTCACAAAAGTGCGGCACATGTTATGTATGGCAGACATAGCGCTGACTATAAGTGTCAATACAATCGCATTTGAAGGCCTTTTATATATGAAATGTACGCAAAATATAGTATTGTTTTGATTGTAAAAAGTTTGAAACTTTTTGAATGAATAGTTCGCGAAATATAGTGAAGAAATGGTTGGACTTAAGACAGGGATCAGGTGTTGGCCACAGGAATATGGCTGACATGCAACTCCCGTGGAGAAAAGACCGGTTATACCGGTTGTGAGTGTGGATAGTTGTGCACAAGTTATTCTACAACAGTAGCGAACTTACCGTGGGTTTGCCGTTAGAGCACCAGTAGCCAAGGGCTCCTCGAGACGTCTCGTGCGTCGACCACAACACCCGAACCGTACGGCTCTGCAGCCGAGGCGGTGGTCGCGGCCAACAGATCACTGACATTAAGTTCGACACATTGGACACCAATTGGTTCTTCACGTCATCCACTTCTGGCAAAATCATGAAACAACGTCTCGACGGCACCGAAGATATCGCACTCAAGGATTCCTACCTTTTCGATGAGTTCTACTCGAGGTATATATCAGTGTCACTCATATCACTGTCTAAACCAGTCTTATCTGTTCACTAGTTGTCGCTTTTCATGTCTAGACATCTGTTCCGATCGTAAACTATTGGTCGCCGGAGACAGTAAAGGATGCATTCATTTGATGCCTTCGTGCGAATCCACCAAAACTGGTCTCAACGCCAGTTGTCTTCAGATCCACGGCTCCAATGTATTGCACACAGAGTTTAATAAATTCAATACAAACCTATTCATCACCGCATCCATCGATTGCACCGCAAAGCTATGGGACGTTAGATATATTGACCACAAGTCGGCCAAACCGGTGCTCACCATAAGGCAGAGCCGGCCGTTAAATTCGGCCACATTTTCGCGGACCAACGGATCGACGCTATTGTTGACCAACTATTTCGATGAGAAGCCACAGATATCTCCCGGCCTGACCGTCAACCTCACAACATAATTTGTGTCAGTGCTTGTCTGCGTCTCCAAAACGGAAAACTTTCGGGCTACCGTAGGCAACACGCTGAAGAAAGAGTAGCCTAGCTTCAGTACGAATCCATTAGTGAGCGGACAATACTATGACAGACCGCAGGCCATCGACGCGATCGACGCCCGAACCGGTCTAATCATGTCGAGTATCAGTGATGGCAATCCCGGTGTCATATCTATAGCTCAGTTCAATAACACGGGGGATGTTGTGGCGGGCGTTAAGGGACAGAATCTACTTATATTCGAATCCATTGCCAAAGATTAATTATTTACAATTACAACAAATTACTTAATTTTGCGTTACGTGTAAATGATATATACAATATTTTTCCAATTTTATATTTACCAATATAATTATCAATTGTTTAGTTAGTGTTAAAAAAATAATTATGAAATTCGATCATAAATTTGCCAATAATTGTAATGTAATGAATAAATAATTGTAAATTGAATTCAATTGTTTGAGTACTTGTTTGAATGTTATGAAAGCTTTGGACAGAACGACAACAGAAACTATTGAATGGTTGGCAGCTATTGGTTGCCGTATTGGCCACAAAATTATTACAAACGCAGCAAATGATAGTAAAAATTAAACAATTTATTAATTAACAAATTCATTAAAACTAATCGCTTTCGATATCGTTATCATCGCTTTCGTCTGCCTTAAGTTTTTTAGATTTCTTGTCTTTTGATTTATTATTTTGTTTTCTTTTATTATTAAAAAACTTTCGTTTTCTATAAGCAAACAAAAAATGTTTTAACAAATAAACACAAAATCAATTGTTATTTACAAACCTTTTGTTGAGTTCGAGCATAAACTGCGGGACATCACAACCGGACCGTCGCATCACATTAGCAATGGATCGCAATTTATCGCTATCTTTCTCAGTGAAAAATGTGATCGCTTTTCCTTTACGACCAGCCCTTCCCGTCCGACCTTTAATTACATCACATTTATAATTATAACACAATTTAAAATACTTAAAACAACGAAAATAATACCAATTTTATGGATATAAGAGACCGAAGTGGAGGGGAAGTCATAATTGATGACCAAATTAACGCCTTTAAAGTCTATTCCCCGACCCATGAGATCAGTGCAGATAAGAAACCAAACCTTTCCCTCACGGAAACTGCGGACCACATTATCCCTGTCCTGTTGTGTCCGTTTCGAGTGAATCACATCGATATTAATGCCGTCGTAAACCAATTCTTTATGCAATTGTTTGGCTTTTTGTATTTTGTCCACAAATATCAGTACCGGTGCTTCGCATCCGCGAGCGATCACATCTCTTAACGCCATTATTTTACCCTAAAATCGTTTTGGAAAACAAATTCACAATAAATAAAACATTGATCACAAAAATCAAAGAAAATTTTACGGATTCATTGCCGACGAAAGTGAGCGTCTGGTCCACCTCTTGGGAGGCGTTGTTTTTGCCGCCAATACCGACGGCAACCAAATTATCTAAATTAAGTTTCGCCCACTTTTCCAACTCTATGTCGTGAGTGGCGCTAAACATGGCGTGACTTACTTTCGTCGATTTGCCACAGCTTTGAAATATGACAGATAACTGGTCCCGAAAGCCTTCCTCGAAGAGTTTGTCGCACTCGTCGATCACAAGCCATTCAACGCTTTATTTATAAATATAATTTTGATTAAAAAAACTGATGAAACGTTTTAATAAAATGCGTTACTTTTCAATATTGATGGCAACGGGTTCTTGGCTTAAGAGGTATACCAATCGGTTGGGTGTCGTCACCAGTATATCATACATGAGCTCAGAGTTTGGGCCGAATTTCTTTTGGGCTAAATTCACATTCTTAATGATGTGAACGCGAAGACCGGTTCCGTTGGAAATCCAGAGACATTCGCGATGTATTTGTTTGGCTAACTCTCGAGTGGGCGCTAAGATGACGGCCCGGAATCCCTTCCGTTGCGGTCCTCTCAGCTGATGAACAATCGGTATAAGAAAAGCCAATGTTTTGCCGGAACCGGTCGGAGCGCAACACAACATCTCTCTCTTCGACATCAGGAGAGGAATGGACTGCATCTGAACGGCTGTCGGACTCCCGAAACCACTTTTGCGGATGTTTTCCATTATGTTTTGGTCGACATTCAGCTCATCGAAGGAGACAATGGGTTCGTTGACATCACTTCCCTTCACGTGAATCCGGTATTTATTCCGCAATTGATTCACTCTTTCGGTGTTTAATTCAATCAATTGTTTCCGACTCTTCGGCGCCGACGACTTCTTCTTCGGTTTGTCGCTCCCGTTGTGTGTCTGACCACCGATTGTCTCGTCAACCGGTGGTATGTCATCACCCGATTGGACACAACTTTGGTCGTCATGTGATTTGTTTATCTGTGAATTGAAAACAATCAACAAAAGGGCCACTCAATGGCCGCAAAACATACGGAAAACTTCTTCACATCTGATCCAAACTTCTTGTAGTTAAATCTGGAGCCGGAAATCAATTTCCTGAAGACATCGTCGCCACTCATGACCAGCGCTTCCGTCGGTAAATATGTTGTCAAATAACACGTGAATTACAAAACACGTGATATCCAAACTTCTTGTGGTTAAATCTGGAGCCGGAAATCAATTTCCTGAAGACATCGTCGCCACTCATGACCAGCGCTTCCGTCGGTAAATATGTTGTCAAATAACACGTGAATTACAAAACACGTGAGACTTTCAATGCAAACATGTTTTTAAATGCAACCAAAAGTTGTGTTAGTGTTGTGTTGAATGCCTTTCAATACTTTCAATGCTTTTATCCAAACCATATGAATGCCTGAAAATCGCGTTTCATTCAACACTAGTCTTTAAGTGATTGCATTATTTTTGGCGATTCTTTAACTTTTGTATTGTCCGCACATTTCTATGAATTAATTTTATTTAATTATTACAAAATTAAATTTAATTAAATTTAGTTGTATTATGAGTGGAGTTAATTATTTGTAATATAAATCATATCTGAAATATTGTTTTAAAAATAAAAACTTTTCACAATATAAAGTTAATAGTGCCTGGTTGATTTATCGAAATTGACTGTTACATGATAATTTAGTTGTAACTTTTACTTAATTATAGAAAATTGTTATAAATTGTATTTATAATAAATTTATTATAACATTATGTCGTTATTTATAGTAATTGTAAAATGAGTGTAAAAATAGTTGAAATATGTTTATGGGATATAATTATATGGTTTATTAGTGCGGATAACCATTAATTGAATGTTTTCGCAAAATAGTTGTCAAAATTTAGACTAAAAATCAAAAGTATTTAATAAATTAGGCAATAATTGTGTTACTATATGATCGGTATTTTGCAAATATGCGATAATTATTGCTGATAACAGTTACAGTATAGTGTTATACAATACAATACATTTTATTGTTTGCGTTAGTGTTAAAATTTAGACATAATTACCTTATAGCAGCTATACTAATTTATAACTCAAATATACAATAGTCATTAAAAAAGTTTTGCACAATAGTTTTGAAAATCGAAATGAATTCATTAATTATGTGCTAAAGTATAGTAAATATGGTTAAGAAATGATGAAAGAAATAAATTGCACAGAATTTGGTCTAAAAAGGATTTAATGAGAGAATTGAGGCCCAGTTTATCGATCCTATGAAATAAGAATATCCTTTAGAAATATGTGGATTATTATTGTTTAAATAGGACTCAATTCTGGTTTAATCTAAAAATTAGGATTTATCGCATTTTAATGAGTATTTAGAAATTAATACCCAAATAATTTGTTTGGATTTCTTATGAAATGTAATTCGTTTTGAAATACATTTTACATAACAAGTACTTTACATGATATCCTTTAAATATATGGTCTGAAAATAATAAACAAATGTTTAATTGGAAAACAATATTAATTGACTTGAATAACAAACATGCCTTACAGTTATATAATAGTGGATGAAATAATTTAAATTAGTACTGTTTCTGAAAGTTTATATTAAAATCATGTGACAATTATAAGAGTAAAAGAGATCGTGTTATAAGTCTTTTGTGTGTTTAATCAATAATTCGTGTAATGAATACCAAAGCAATTAAAGCGAAAAGTTTTTCTTGTATTTTATAGAATTTCTTATAATTAGTATTAGAGTTGCCTTTCATTGAATATAAGACTAATTAAATGCTTTCTTATTTTTCGTGTTGTGAAATATAATATTCTTTGAGTTCATTAAAATACAAAATCAATTTTACTTTCATTTAATATAATAAGTTTANGTCTCTTATATCCATAAAATTGGTATTATTTTCGTTGTTTTAAGTATTTTAAATTGTGTTATAATTATAAATGTGATGTAATTAAAGGTCGGACGGGAAGGGCTGGTCGTAAAGGAAAAGCGATCACATTTTTCACTGAGAAAGATAGCGATAAATTGCGATCCATTGCTAATGTGATGCGACGGTCCGGTTGTGATGTCCCGCAGTTTATGCTCGAACTCAACAAAAGGTTTGTAAATAACAATTGATTTTGTGTTTATTTTTTAAAACATTTTTTGTTTGCTTATAGAAAACGAAAGTTTTTTAATAATAAAAGAAAACAAAATAATAAATCAAAAGACAAGAAATCTAAAAAACATAAGACAGACGAAAGCGATGATAACGATATCGAAAGCGATTAGTTTTAATGAATTTGTTTGTTAATTAATAAATTGTTTAATTTTTACCATCATTTGCTGCGTTTGTAATAATTTTGTGGCCAATACGGTGACCATTAGCTGCCAACCATTCAATAGTTTCTGTTGTCGTTTTGTCCAATGCTTTCATTACATTCAAACGAGTACTCAAACAATTCAATTTACAATTATTTATTCATTACATTACAATTATTGGCAAAATTATAGAATTTTATAATTATTTTTATAACACTAACTAAACAATTTATAATTATACTGGTTAATATAAAATTAGAAAAATACTGTATATTTAATTTACACGTAACACAAAATTAAGTAATTTGTTGTACCTTATTCTCTGACATAGAATTGCATGCAATACTAAGTCAATATCAGTAAAGGGGTGCAATACTATCTAGATAACATTGCACCCTATTTTAGACTAATAATCAAAATAATTAAAAATGAAAATATTAAATTGATTAACAAACGAAATTAATTTATCAGTATTTCAAATTAGCAAATTGTCTACACTTAAATACAATGATTTTTACTATATAATGTAAATTATATAGATTGTATTTATTTTCGTTTGTATAAATTTCTTAAATTATACTTGTTCCTTAATTTATCATAGTATATTTATAAAACTTATTAATTTTAAAATGATTATCAAATCAAAACCTAATTATTATTTAAAGATGTTTAAAATATAATTGTCTTTTATGGATAATTATCCTAGGAATTGAAATGCTGATTCATTTAAGTTTTAAATTGTTAAATTGTAATTTTACATCTCATTGGAAAATTGATTAATTATTTTTAATTGAATCCGAATTTGACTTTTATAACAGGAAAATATTCTCAAAAGCATATTATATTTGTTTAATTTAAATGTTACGATTAAATCCCTTTACTGAATATCCGATACTATTGCATGCTTATAATACAGTTAAAATCACTTCCCCACGTTATGATAGATCTATCGTAACGTATGGTAAAACTTTTTGCGATAAAATGACTATAACTGAATCATATGCATGCAATTCTATGTCAGAGAAAAAGGTAATACGGAAACAATTAGTCTTTGGCAATGGATTCAAATATAAGCAGATTCTGTCCCTTAACGCCCGCCACAACATCTCCCATGTTATTGAACTGAGCTATAGATATGACACCGGGATTGCCATCACTGATACTCGACATGATTAGACCGGTCCGGGCGTCGATCGCATCGATGGCCTGCGGTCTGTCATAGTATTGTCCGCTCACTAATGGATTCGTACTGAAAGATCCGATGAGAAAGAAGTCGCACAACGGATGCCATCGGGCTTTCAAAAGGCAAAACCTCTGCGTCTGTTCGTGACTGTGTTTAATACAACACTCCAACTGCCAGTCCGGCCCTCTATAGACACCGA